TGGTGAGGAGCTGTGCTGTTGATGTAAGAAGTGAAGATAAAAAAGCTACTGCCCTCTCATATGACATGCCTTAGTCTCCAGTGGTGCTGGAACTTACATCTTTCTCTTATCTTTTCCCCATTCTCACCCAACAAAGCAACAAAATCTGGGGTTCTAGTTTTCTACACCTCTTCTTCCTGGTCCCTATCCCAGGGTGGAGTATTATTACACCTTGCAATGAGAATCCGCTCCTGTCAAGTAGGTGGTGGTGTGAGGGGCCCTTGGAGGGTCAGGAGAGAGACGAGGTGAGGAAATGTCTTCGGCATACTATGCAGTCAGCTCCAGTTTGTCCAAGAACCTTTATTGGAAAAATGTCCAAGGAGTGAGATCACTGGCAGCTGAAGGGGCTGCCAGGTGAGAGGGGGAGCACCTGAGGCTCCATGGAAGACACTGGAGTAGTGCAGTGCAGCATCTGCCTCTAGGCTGTGACAATTCCTTTTGTTTGCTGGGGAAAGAGGAGTACCCACAGAAACACCGCCCTCTGAGGCCCAGAGGCAAGATGTGGGGGCAGCTGGGGATGCTGAGAGTCCTGATACAGGTGGAATGGGGTCCCCATTTGGGACCTAATGGGATAGGGTAGAACAAGTGACTCTCCCCTGGACCAGGGGATGGGAGGAGATGTCCCATCTGATATCCGCTCCCCAGGTCCAGGGGCACAGACTCTTAAAAGACTGGCTCTGCTCACAGTGGAAAGAGGATGGGTACCAGGCCTGAGATTGTGGGCGTGTTATTACCCTCGGAGTCTCCAGCAGATCACCATCTTGGGCTTTCCCTGACCCCACCCCCATCCCCAAGTTGTTAGTGCATCTCTCTTCTGGCTGTGTTTCTTCCCTCAAACGTCGATGGTGTTGATGGATGGTGACTTTTTCTGTGAAAGAAAATGGTCTGAGTCTCAATTTGAGGAAGGTAATAGGTGCCACCCTTTCTCTCCAGCCTCCCCCATCCCAGGTCTTCCATTCTCCATCTTTTTCTGCCCCTCTTTGACCTTCTTCCTTTCCCTGGCTGCCCCTCAGGGGCAAAAGCACCCTTTCCGCCCTCACTGGCCCCCACATCACCTGTCTTGTCCCCACTGGCCTTCCCTGAGGACTCTGTTCTGGCCCCTTTCCCTTCTCCTTGGGATTGTTGTTGGAGTCGTTGTCCTTGATGATGTCATACTGACGGCAGAACAGCCCAATTACAGCTGAAACACAATACAGTCTGAGCCTTCATCTCTACCCCTTCCCCCCAGTTAGATAACCCCATAGCTTCTAGAAAATTATATGAAGAACACCCTGAATTCCTGGTGCCCAATGCAGTCCTCCTCTCTGGGCTCTCAACAGCCTCCTCTCCCTCTCTTCAAACTTCGAATCATCCTTCCTCAAGTAAGTATCTCCCCACTCCATTTCTTTCATTTTTTTTTTTCTTTGAGACAGAGAGAGTCTCGCTCTGTTATCCAGGTTGGGGTGCAGTGGCACCATCTCGGCTCACTGCAACTTCCTCCTCCTGAGTTCAAGTGATTTTCCTGCCTCAGCCTCCTAACTGGGATAACAGGTGCTCTCCACCACACTCCACTAATTTTTGTATTTTTAGTAGAGATGGGGTTTCACTATGTTGGCCAGGCTGGTCTTGAACTCCTGACCTCAGGTGATCTGCCTGCCTCGGCCTCCCAAAGTGCTGGAATTACAGGCGTGAGCCACTGTGACTGGCCCGTTTCTCTCACTTCTTTTTCTCCTGACAACCTTTGCCACCTCCCACCTTTACTGAGTCCCTGGTCCGCTGTCTAGCTGCTTACTCACCAGCCCACATGAGCAACACCACCACAATGATGACCACTTCCCCAGTCTGCAGTGGTCGCTCTCCATCAAGACCCTCCACTGTGATGTCACCTGAGAAGGGAGAAGGCAGACTCCAGGTTACTGGGGAATAGCTCTCTGTGCAGACATACGCAGGATGGAGATACAGGGGATTAGAGAGGGCAGACCGTCATAATGTTGCCCTTGGAGTGTAGGGTAGCCTTTCCCTGGGAGGAAGCCTGGTGGACAGGTGGTTAGCGACCAAAAAGCAGATGGCTGCAGGTTAATTCCTCACTCATGCAGGCTGCAGCTGATGTGAAGTTGGGTAACAGGAAGCTTAGAAGCCTTTCCCCTGAACAACTCAGTACCAGCCTGTCTGTGCTCAATAGCAGCCTGTCTGTACCCAGACCCCTTCTCACCTGCTTTTCCTTCCTTTCCTGGCAGTACAATATTATGAATTGATTAATAAATGAATTAAATCATCCTATTCACCTCAGCTGGACTGTGGCTTGTCCTGGGGAAGTAAGAGGCTGCAAGCCGGGTAAGCTGCCAAAGAATCCAATAGCACAGACCCTCACCTGGGCCTGAGCTGTTTGAAGGTAGCCGGTCAGAACCCTTGAGAGTTCGAAAGTGCACCCGGGGCCCTGGGGGGCTCTCTCCCCGAAGGCCGATGCTCCTGACCTGCACCGTGTAGTCACTGTCTTCAGCCAGGCCCCAGAGGGCACAAGCCCGGGTGGTGGTGTTCACCTCCCGAATCACACGCTGCCCGGGGCCATTCTGCCGCTGCAGGGAGATGAGGGGAGAGGAGGACAGCCTCAACCCAGTGCCAGGCCACAAGGCTCAACCGAGACTCTTCAACATCCAAGCACTCCGTGGGAGTGGCGTGAAAAGGGCAGCCTGAGCCAGGATAGCCTGCTTCCAGATCCCCCCACCTAAGTGAAGGAATGTGCAGAAATCCAAGGACACAGGTTGGGGGAGCAGAAGGGTGATTCATACTTGCTGGGAAATGGAGTAGCCAATGACGATGTTGCCTTCTGGGACGTCCCAGGACACAGTGGCCGAGTTGGCTCTGAGGTGAGTGACCGTCACATTCACAGGAGAGGGAGGCCGGTCTGCAGGAGCCAGGGTGTTAACAGGTTCACCCTCTGACTAGCTCTGGTGGACCCTCAGCCCCGTTCCCCTCTACTCACCTGCCCGCACAAAACCCAGGTCACAGCTGACCAGCAGGAGGACCGTGGGGCTTAGATATGGGGAAAGGGGCATCAGCGAAGCCATGTCCCCACCGAGTCCGCTGGGGGGGCACTGGGGCATCCGCTTGACATCCAGGCGGGGCTCCTGGAGGTGGCAGGAGTTGTGGGGGGTCAAGGACTGCCCAGAACGCACGGGAGGGAGGGTAGCAGCTCTCCTGGGCTCCCCACAGCTAACAACAGCCCTATTTTCCCCGCGTCCTCCCGCCCCCGCATTGCCCGGGCGCCCCCAGAGCGCGGTCAGCCCTGCCCACACCCACCTCCGCCGGTTCTCGCGGTCGGTCAGGCCTCCGGGGGCTGCTCGGTGTCCAGAGGGCGGCCCATCGCCCGACTCGGTGGCGCTGCCCCTACCCCATCCTGGCGCGGGCCCGGCGAGGCGGGCAGCGCGGGGCCGAGCTGCGGGCCGAGAGGGCGCGGGTCTGCGGAGCCCCCAGAGCTCGGGCGGGCGGGGAGTCTGTCCCGGGGCGGGGGGCGTTGCCCGGACGCTGGCCTGGGTCCGCGGTGCGGGAGGCAGTGCGGCGGCGTCCGCCCGCCCCTGCAGCGGGATGTGACCGTCCCGGAGAGCCAGCCGCCTTCTGCAGCGCTGGCCCCGCTCGCTCCGCCGCAGCCCGACCCGGACGCGCGGGCCCGCCCCGCCCCGCCGGGGTTCTGGCCGCCGTCATTCCCCTCCAGCCCCCCACCTCCGTCCTGTCGGGGCTCCTCCCACGACCCTCCCAATGGCGCCTCCGGGGCCCCCATCCCTTATCCCTTCTCTCTCCCAGCTCAGGCGGAGGAGCCGGCGGGGGCGTCGGGGGAGGCTCGGGTGCGAGGGTCTCCGGCACCTGGGAGACCCCCTTCCTCCCCGCGTGGAAGAGCCAAGTTGGGAGGAGGAATTCCACCTCCAGTGCCCGAGGGGCTAAGAGGAGAGCGGACAGAGTGATGGAGATAATAATTGCTTTAACAATCCCTTACTTACAGACTGCGTCAGCTTTTAAGTCTCTTTCCCATTCATAATCTGATTTCATTCCGTTCGCTTTCTCATTCATTCTTTCATTTATTCAGCAGATATTTATTGAGCGTCTCTTATGTGTCTAGTTAAAACCTGGAGATACAGAGATTGTTAAGAGTGTTGGGTTTCTAGGGAGAATCAAAGCTCAGAGACCTATGGCTTTTTAAAAAAATTGTTATTCCTTTCTTTTCTTCTTTTTTGTTTTGTTTTGCTTTTGTTTTTGTTTTTCTAAAGCTCTGCCACTTACGGTGTGGTCTTGGAGAAACTGGTTTATCTGTGCCGCAGGTTTCCCACCTGTAAAACAAAGCGAGTTAAACCTCACAGGGTTGTTGTGAGGCTCAAATGAGACAATGTTGGGGAGAAATCTTTATAAATTTCACAACACCGTGTGAATGGATGATGATTGTAAATATGCACCAATTTGTTAGTTACTTCCTTTGTTCAATAAGCATGTAAGCCCTTAGATTATTTCATGCTTTGGTTGAGCTTGAAATGTGGAATGAGAACCTGGGTGTGAGTCCCAATTTGTCCAGCTGTGTGATCTTAAGCAACCAGCTCAACTACTCTGAGCCTGTTTCATCATCTGAAAAATGAAGGTGTCAATATTGGCCAACATCTTCGTGTTGGTGTATCCCATGAGATACTGTGAAAAGTGTGTTGTTTAGTGTAAATAGATGCTGGCTAACATTGTGTTTAGGGCAGATCCTTTGGTTTCTAATTCTCCATGCAGTATTTCTGTCTCTGTGGCATTTTTCCGGCTCTAGTGTCCAGTACAGTGTGTGCACACTTGGGGCTCAGAAGCTTCTGCTGCCTTCCTTTCTGAGAGGAGAGGGTAAAATGGGACCAGTGGGACTTTGCCTGTGGAGCATGTGATCAAGTCATGGGCCAGGTCCTCTGACTTCTGCTGACCTGGCCACCCTGATCTCTGGCCTTGGAGGACACCTGCCCAGGGATTCACTGCTCTGGGTGTTGTCCTGAGTTCCCAGATTCTAGGTCCTCTGGAGAAGAGGGCATTGTCCCTGTAGGATAAGAGTCATGAGCCTCAGGTCTTCCTCTTCAGGGGCCAAAGCAGAGACTGGGGAGTCAGGGTGCATGCAATAAGGAGTTTCCCTGAGGTTACCAGAGGGCTGGGGGCCTAGTGACCAGGAAAGGGTGGTGCAGGCGGTGGTACAGGGGGTAGTGCCCTGAGAGCCCAGGGTGCTTGGGTTAATCATCACTGTGGCTCAGATAAGGCCCTGCCAACTGGAAGCAGAGTCACTGTGACCAGAGGGGTTTATGTGGCTGAAGAGGCAGGCAGAACAGTGTATCCACAGCGTGGGACCATGCCAGCCACAAAACGGTTTCAACATGTCATTGAGACCCCGGAGCCTGGCCAGTGGGAGGTGAGACCCCTTCTCCATGTTGGCTTTCCTTGCTGATTCCTAGAATTATTTTTCATCCAGTCCTCCGTCCACCCTGGGTTTCTGCTCACCTCTTTTTCCTTCCTGACATTCTTTCCCTAATATGCCCAGAGTAGCAAGTGCAGGCTGAGTTTCTGGTGGTGTGTGTGTGTGTGTGTGTGTGTGTGTGTGTGTATGTGTGTGTGTACAAACTCTGTGCCTGTTGCCACTCCCACCTCCAGCTCAGCAGGCATGAATGAGCCGGTGGCTTCCTGCTCCTTCCTTGTCGCCTCTTCCTTCTAGTTGTCTGGGTATGAGGCAGCTGTGCCAATCACAGAGAAGTCAAATCCACTGACCCGGGACCTAGACAAAGCAGATGCTGAGAAAATTGTTCGACTGCTGGGGCAATGTGATGCTGAGATCTTCCAGGAGGAGGGGCAAGCCCTGCCCACATACCAGGTAACCCAGACCCGTGCCCTGGACCCTGCAAATAAACATGCCAACCCCAATCCCACCTCTGCCCTCCCTGACCATGGCTCCTGATACTGGAAACTCCGAGACCTCCTCCCGCATCCACCGTCCGCCTCTTCTTGGCTTCTGATTCCTGCCTGTTCCCTGCAGAGACTCTACAGCGAATCCATTCTGACCACCATGGTGCAAGTGGCTGGAAAAGTTCAGGAAGTGCTGAAGGTACCACCTTCCTTCTGCTCCCTGCCTCAGCTTTTCTGTTTCCCTCTTTCTCCTTTTTTTGGTGTCTATTTCACCAAAAAAATAGATCTCATTCTCCTTTCTCCCTTTTGGAGATCCTCCCTTTTGGATCCTTATTTTTATCTTATTATTAATAATAACTTACCTGATTAATACTTTATAATTGATAATCTACTTTCACAGCTATTACCCTCACAAAAACCTGTGAAGTTGATATGATATCTGTTTGTTTGTTTTTATCAGATGAAAAAACAAAGACTTAGAAAGACAATCACTGTAGCTCGCTCAAATACACCCAGCTAATAATTGCTGGATAACGCTGCTTTTATTATGTACTTTTATTTAGATGACAAAGCTGCTCTCAGTTCTTTCGGGGATAAGTAAGGATTCGAATAAGTAGTGGAGCAAGACATGGGAGTCAAACTGGTTTCACTAATCTGTGTTCTTTTTGCTACACTACACTGAGGGTATTTGTTCACCTTTGTGATGAGAGGAGGGATAAGGAGTCTTTTCAGTTCCTCTTGCATTACTGACAAAGAATATGCTTCCCCCAACTTAAGCCAGGGCCTGGTGATATATGCCTTTTTCCTTCTTCAGGAGCCAGATGGGGGGCTGGTTGTATTGAGTGGAGGGGGCACCTCTGGCCGGATGGCATTCCTCATGTCGGTGAGCACCCTGGTCCCCGGTTTTCTTCCCTCTCCACTTCTTGAGGTGACCCTCAGGACCATAAAGATCACCATAACTGAGCTCCCAGGTGTCTCCCTCACTCGACCTGGACTCCAAGCCCGGCTCTCTCTCTCTCTTCCAAAAGCTAGACATCACCATGAAGTCCCATTTCTTCTGAGCCCATCTGAGTCCCACCAGTCTGTTGTCAATGTCTCTACATCCCATGCACCGCCAACTAATCATCCCCAAGTGGCAGCTTTAAGCGCCAGATTCCATGTAGGACTGCGTTAAGCACTGGTCTAAGAGAATCATTACATAGTCTCTGTCCTCTAGGAGTTGAACATCCAGGATAATTGTTTCTTCTCTGTCATTACCCCTTCACATCCTCTCCCCCTTGACAGGTGTCCTTTAATCAGCTGATGAAGGGTCTGGGACAGAAACCTCTTTACACCTACCTCATTGCAGGGGGTGACAGGTAAGCCAAGCTAGCCTGTGAATATTTTGTTTGGCCTGAATGGTGCTTCTTAGAAATTGAGTTGAATGCCTTTAGGCAGAGATCGTGCCCAGCTCGCCTTAGTCCCCCCATTCCTTATTGCCTTACACTTGGTCCACTTTACATACTTATGTTGCCTGACCGGCTGTTGTAGGTATTTGGGTTTTTCAACTCTGTGGAGTGTCTGTCATGGTGCCCAACAAACAGTGGGTGCTGATTCAATGATAGTTTTCCCTTTATTCCCATCTCTTAATGTAGCCCGCCCTAATAAACCATAGGCTTCTGCTTCCCAGCCAGTGCCACTGACCTCGAGTCTGTCCTCTTAGGTCTGTGGTGGCCTCTAGGGAGGGGACGGAAGACAGTGCCTTGCACGGGATTGAGGAACTGAAGAAGGTCTGTGCTTCCCACTGCTACCTGACCAGAGACCTCTATCTGTTCCTTCTCATGGGGACATAAAAGCCCCAGCATTCAGCCGAAGCCTATTCCCTCCCTCCCCTGTTCCTGGCCTGGAATCCTCCCAGTTACACCACGTTGTCCATCCTCCTCTCCTAGGTGGCCGCCGGGAAGAAGAGGGTGATTGTCGTTGGCATTTCTGTGGGACTCTCTGTGAGTAGAAAGATGGGTTGAGTGGATGAATTTTAGAGACAGGAAGTGAGTGGGAATGGAATAGCATGGGAGCTAGATCAATGAGGTGGGTGCTAGAAAGCAGGAAGTTTGCTCAAGGAATTTTGGTTTTCGTTTCACTAACTTGGATTGAGTTGTATGAATGTGGAAGATGGGGAAGGGATTCTGTTTCAGAATAACTGTATCAATCAATCAACAACCAAGATACGTAGACTGGTCCAGGGGTAAGCGAACTATACAGGCTGGCCAATGTAGCCAGCTGCCTGTTTTGTAAAATACATTTTTTTGTTGTTGTTGTTTGTTTGAGATGGGATCTTGCTCTGTCATGCAGGCTGGAGTGCAATGGAATGATCTTGGCTCACTGTAGCCTTCACCTCCCAAGTTCAAGTGATTCTCCTGCCTCAGCCTCCAGAAAAGCTGGGATTATAGGTGTCCACCACCACCATACCCAGCTAATTTTTATATTTTTAATAGAGACAGGGTTTCACCATGTTGTCCAGGCTGATCTCGAACTCCTGACCTCAAGTGATCTGCCCGCCTCAGCCTCCCAAAGTGGTGGGATTACAGGCATGAGCCACCGTGCCCGACCCTAAAATAAAGTATTATTTTGTGGTTTTTCTTGAGATGGAGTCTCCCTCTGTCTTCCAGGCTGGAGTGCAGTGGCATGATCTTGGCTCACTGTAGTCTCCACCTCCTAGGTGAAGCGATTCTCCTGCCTCAGTCTCCCAAGTAACTGGAATTACAGGCACATGCCACCATGCCTGGATAATTTTGTATTTTTAGTAGAGACAGGGTTTCACCATGTTGGCCAGGCTGGTCTTGAACTCCTGACCTCAAGTGATCTGCCCACCTTGGCCTCCCAAAATTCTGGGTTTATAGGCATGAGCCACCGTGTCCAGCCCCTAAAATAAAGTTTTATTGGAACACAGCTATTTTTGTTTATATATGGTCTAGGGCCTCTTTCATGCTATAGCCATAGGATTGAGTAGTTGGACAGAGACCATAAGGCCCACAAACCCTAAAGTATTTACTATCTTGCCTTTTACAGAAAAATATGGGCCCTGGACTAGTCCCTTGCAGCTTACAGTATGGTGCCTATACCAGCAACATCAGTGTCACCTGAGACTTGTTAGAAATGTAAAATCTCAGGCCCCATCCCAGACCTACTGAGCATTTTAACAAGACTACCAGGTAGTTTGAGAAGCACTGAGCCAGATGATTCCAAGTTTCCTCTCAATTCTGCAGCTCTCTGGCTCTAAGAATTCACTGAGCAGAAACTAGATCCTACCAGTGTTATATATGGAAGGAAACACACAAAGAGAAGGGGATATTGACTTCAAAGAGCTTACAATTTAGTTCAGTAGTATTCCAACTTTACCACGCAGATTTCCTTGGAGTACTTGTTAAAAATGCTCCTCCTTCAAATTTGGATCCAGTAGATTGTAACTGTACCTAGGAATCTGCATTTTGAACAAGCATTCTGAAGGATTCTGATGCACTCGAGCCTCGAGCACCACTCAGAGTAATGACCCCCTCATCACGCCCTTCTCTTTCTTCACCATCAGGCTCCATTTGTGGCAGGCCAGATGGACTACTGCATGAACAACACAGCTGTCTTCTTGCCAGTCCTGGTTGGCTTCAATCCAGTGAGCATGGCCAGGTGAGCCTTCTGGAATGACTGGCCAGCCCTGGGGCAGGCTGGAAGGGAACACGTCAAAGTCTATAGTACAACCATAAGGGAGAAAAGGTTGAATATAGTCTTGTTCACCAAATCTCAGAATATTAAATATGGGGTGCCCCTAAGCTTACAGGGTTTTTTTTTTTTTGTTGGTTAAATTATTATCTTCTTGCTTCAGAAAGGATTAAAGGCAACTTATAAAGGATGCATGAAGTATAAGATAACTTACATTCAAAACAGGGATTGAAGAGGCAAGAAAAACAAGAGATAAAATGGAGGAGAAAATGGGGTCAGGAAGATGCATACCACAAAGATTTGTGCTTCCATTTGGGGGTGAGCTCCAAGCACCTTTTCAAAGTAGCAGTATAGTGTGCTAGATGGCTCCGTACTCTTCTTTGTCCGACTCCCTTATTTAGTGCCCATTCTCTCTCATCATTCCTGGCACCCCTTTGCTCCCCCGAGGCTCCTCAGATCTCTCACCCTCTTCCCTTCCCTGAGAGCCTTTCATTCCCAAATCACCTCCCTCTTATATTTTCTATGTCAGTGGTCACTCTGATCTCAGAATAAGTCAACATATTAAACCAGTAGTGCTCAGATGTGGTTCTGTGCATGAGCTGCCTGGGGAATGTTACAAAAAAATAAAGAAGACTCTTAGTTCCTTGTGTAAGAGGTCTGGTTTTGTAGGTTTGGAGTAAGGCCCTGAAATATCTATTTTTTGAAAGCATCCCTGGAGATTCTGATGCACAGCCAGGTTTGGGGAACTCTGCTAAATAAACCATTGGAGTGGGCCACCTGACAAAGCTGAGGGCTTCCTGACACCAAAGGGATGCGGCAGAGGCTTGTTGATGATTTTAGAGCAGCTTTTTGTATTTAGCGGTGGTCTTGGGAAGGGGGACAAGTGGGTTTTTCAAAGGTGCTTTTTCACCTCCCAGATTCTAGGCTGTAGTATAATTTATGCGAAGGTGTAAATGCATCTGAAATACCCTAACCCTGATCCTTTTCATGGAGGGCCCTCCTTCACCAAAATTGTATCTGCTGCAGTGGATGCTAATTTCAGGCCCTATGACTAAGCGAAATGAAGAATTTCAAACAATGTAGGCGTGGAGATCTTCCAGTTGTTCCTTAAATCAGTGGCTCCCAAACTTGGCTGATTTTCAGAGTCATCTGGAAAGCTTTTTAAAAATATAGATTTTTGGGCTCCATTCCAGAACTACTGAATCTGAATCTTAGGGTGGATGTGGTACCCAGAAATGGGTAGTTATTAAAAAATAAAACTCCCCAGATGATTTGGATGCCCAGCTGTGTTTAGGAATCTAGACGTTAAACCATACAATATGAACCCTGTCTCTGCTTTCTGCTTTAGTCTCCTCTTTCTTAGATCTCTAGCAAGTTTCAGAAATAGTTTGAGGACAAATGACAGAAGACATTTTACACAACGGGCATGAAATATGTGAAACTCATCTGCCCTAGCAGTGATACAAAAATAGTTCAAGAAGGGATGGAAACTTTGCAGGATGGGATGATAAGGCAAAATTTGGGGTGCCATGTACAGAGGTAACTAACTCTTTGAGGTCCTGCCATGATGGGTGATTCACAAATTATCCCCTAGCAAAGCCATTAGAAACCAACTAAAGAAGATCCCCATTCTTTGAGATTCCATGATTTGTAACTAAGCAGATAACAAGTCTGCCTTATTAACACATTAATTTGTTCCTGATTAATTCATTCAAGGAATGTTTGACAACTGTGAGGTGCTCTACCTACCTTGCAGCTTTGTTCCCTCACTGTTATCCCTCCCTCCAGTACTGAGGGTTCACTCTTTGGAGGGATTTCCAGAATGTATTTCCATGAATGGGAAGGGCTTCTGGTGAACCTTAAGATGGAAAATAAGGTGGCAACTTTGACATTTGAATGACAGGCATTCCCTAAGGGGCCTGCAGAGGGTGAGGTTACTGTGGCCGTGGCATTGGGGCTTATACAAGACAGTTTGGGTCTCAGGCTGGAACTTTAAACTTGAGTGTTGGCTTTGCTCTGGGCTTGAAGTGCTGAATGTTTTATTAACTCCCGTCCTTGGGGTTCAGGGACACAGTGCCTCTAAAAGCTCCAAAGCATAAGTCTGTGTGAAGTTATTGACCTCTGACCTCAATCCCAAAGCAGTCTTTGATCATGACTCCCAGCTGAGGCCCTTCTTTGAAATCCTCATAGACAATCTCCCCACCTTGTGTCTCTCTGGACCCCAGAAATGACCCCATTGAAGACTGGAGTTCAACATTCCGACAAGTGGCAGAGCGGATGCAGAAAATGCAGGAGAAACAGACAGCTTTTGTGCTCACTCCTGCCATCGGGGTAGGGCTTCTCCTTTTTCTATGTTCTCCAACCCCTCAACGCCTGGGAACTGCTTGCCACCTCCTTGGGGCCTCTGATTTTACGTTCTGTTACATCTTGTTTAAATTCCTGAGGCTTTGTGAGTCAGCTAAAATGTTATAAACCAAATCCTATTTTCCCATTTACTTTTTCACCTTAAGATATTTCATCTTCATTCCAACCCTGTCTCTCAAATCGTTAATCATTAAGCACTTTAGTGGTCGGGGGCAGTTTCTGTTTAAAGAAGCTCTTTGCCATCTATGTATAGACAGCGTTGAATAGCCACGGTTATGTCTCAGTCTGTCTTACACATTTACATTTTAAATATGGGCTTTAAAAAATGGGGTGCAGTTTTGTTTCATTCTGCCTTCTAAATCCTCTCCAAAATTGGCCGGCCCTTCTTAGCTTGAAAGCTGTTTTCTCCTGTTCCTTTTCTCTCATCTGGATTGTGGATACATTTCGCTAGCCCCATTTCTCCTCACTTGGGCCTTAGGAGGGCCTTAGCCAAATTCCAGCCGGTGCCTCCCTCTACCAGTGATGGCCATGCGATCTGAGACTTTCTCCTCCATCTTCCTTTTGTGAGATAGGAAGGTAGAATTCCATATGACATAGGAATTCCGTAGCTTCGACCTCCCAAATACTCATCTCTCTTTCCTCCTTTCTGCAAATGTTGACTTTCAATCTTCTTTTCTCGTAACTACTGTTATCATTCTGTTTGCTGGAATCTCTTTGCTGTCCGGTGTGCTGTGTTCCACATCTGGACCCTGCAACGGCTGCTTCATTGGTCTGTCCAAAGCATGTGACATGTGGTATTTGGACTGATAAACTACCACAGAAAATGGTGGAGGTGACGGAGGTGGGGGAGAAATTTCTTGGAAAGAAAAGTGCTCTCTGCACCGAGTGTGATGTCTCATGCCCGTAATACCAGTACTTTGGGAGGCCAAGGCAGGCAGATCACTTAAGGTCAGGAGTTCGAGACCAGCCTGGCCAAGATGGTGAAACCACATCTCTACTAAAAATACAAAAATTAGCTGGGTGTGTTGGCAGGTTCCTGTAATCCCAGCTACTCAGCAAGCTGAGGCAGGAGAATCTCTTCAATTTGGGAGGCAGAGGTTGCAGTGAGCCAAGATCGTACGACAGCACTCCAGTCTGGGTGGCAGAGCAAGACGCCATCTCAAAAAAAAATAAATAAATAAATAAAATAAGAGAGAGAGAGAGAAAGAAAGAAAAGGAAAGCACTTTATGAAAAACCCTTGACCCAGCTGACAAGAGACCCAGTCACTGTGACTTCGTCCCCAGAGAGTCCTGAATATATACCCAGGAATGACCAGAGGAGGCCTTTTCCCTCTTTCCACTCTTCCTCTTAGTCAGGCGCACCCCAGCACCCTTCCTCACAGGCACACCAGGGGCCAGCAGTACTATCACATGCACGGCCGGGGGTCGCTAACAAGCGGTCTCTGGAGTCTTCATCCTCTCCCAATTCCTCTTGGGTGTCTTTGCCTCCTTCAGCCTGAGGGTCTCAGCGGCTCCTCCCGGATGAAAGGTGGAAGTGCCACCAAGATCCTGCTGGAAACCCTGTTATTAGCTGCCCATAAGACTGTGGACCGGGGCATTGCAGCATCTCAAAGGTAGGGGGGATCTGGACAAGAGAGCGCTCAGAGTCAGGTGAGCGTGAGATGGTGTGGATGGGGAATGGCAGGTCTAGACCCAAGGACTGGGCTGCGGGCAGTAAGACTGCAGCCCACCATGCCTCCCCTGGGAAGGGAGCTGGCGGGGACGTGCTGTTGCTCCCACCATGTAGTCACAGAGTCCAGATTGTCTCCAGTGGATCCTGGATTCTTCAGGTCCGGACCTAATCCCTGAGCCTGACTGGGGCCTCCAAAGCTAGCCTGGCTCCCGAGGGTCCTTTGATTTGGGGGGTGGTCCAAGTCATGCAGGTAGAGCTCATCCCACCATGGGCCAGCCTCCCTCTCCAGGGTCTCTAGCCTCACTCCCAGGCTGTTCACTCCCCTTCCCAGCGGTTCTCAGATCCTGCTCCTCCTGGTACCCTCCTGATGCCCTCATCCCTCTTTCTGATCTTTTGTTTTCTGCCCACTGAATCCCTTGCTGCACCCCCCCGAACACAGTCTGGCCCTACTCTCTGTACCTCTCCAGGGACCAGAAGAACTTAGTTCTAAGGGATCTATGCCTTCACCTCCCTCGTCAGGGAGGTACTCAGTCTTTCTGAGAGGCATTGGGCCCTTCCTGGGAGCTGGTGGCTTTTCTCCCAGATGCCTCCTGGAAATCTTGCGGACATTCGAACGAGCTCATCAGGTGACCTACAGCCAAGGCCCCAAGATTGCCACCTTGATGAAGCACGTCAGCACCAGGTGTGTGGATATGTGTTTAGAGGTGGGGATGTGGCCCAGATGGAGAATACCGAGCGCAGGGAGACTCTATGAGACATGTTAACATGGTGCGGGTGGTGGGATTGCATGTTGAAGGGTCGTGGTGTGTTGACTCCTGTCTTCTTCTGTATGCATCTCTGGCCTCTTTTCACTGTAACCTCTCACGTCCTAACCTCTGACCCATTCTCAGTCTGGAGAAGAAAGGCCATGTGTACTTGGTTGGCTGGCAGACCCTGGGCATCATTGCCATCATGGATGGAGTAGAGTGCATCCACACCTTTGGCGCTGGTGGGACCCCAGTCCAGATGTTCTTCCTGCTTCCTCCTGATCCCAACCGATGGGGCTGCTCTCCAAACACTGTCCTACTCCCAACCCATAGGTGTTTGTCCGTGTCCCTCCTGCCCTATCTAAATAGGCACTTCAGTCAAATTCGTCTTCCTTCAAACCCCAACTCAGTCCTTGATCCCTTCTCAGCTCCCACCCCTGTGCTTAGCTGTGGCTTCCCACATGGGTCACTCCTCACTCCACACCCCACTTACCACTTTTCCTCCCAGTCCCATTGACTCCCCCTGAAGCCTAGAAACTTCCTTTCCTATAAAGCCAATCTTTCCTCTCTCCTTGTTCTTAAACCTCCCAGATTTCCGAGATGTCCGTGGCTTTCTCATTGGTGATCACAGTGACATGTTTAACCAGAAGGCTGAGATCACCAACCAGGTTGGAGAAGAACCGGACTTGGGGAAGTTGGGCAGATCACTGGTGTGCTGAGGGTGGAAGCTAAGGGGAAGGTGGAGCTAGGCAGGGAGTTCACTGAAATAGATAGTCCAGAGAAATGGCCGGGTGTGGTAGCTCACTTTGGGAAGCCAGGGTGAGCGGATCACAAGGTCAGGAGTTTGAGACCAGCCTGGCCAACATGGCGAAACCCTGTCTCTACTAAAAATTCAAAAAGAGCCAGGAGTAGTGGTGGACACCTGTAGTCTCAGCTACTAAGGAGGCTGAGGCAGGAGAATTGCTTGAATCGGGAGGTGGAGGTTGCAGCGAGCCGAGATTGTGCCACTGTGCTCCAGCCTGGGTGACAGAGTGAGACTCTGTCCCAAGGAGGGGGAAAAAAAAGATAGTCCAGAGAAGAGAATATGAGTCAGAAGTCATGAGGCTTTCGGGGGTAGCACGGGTAGTGTGGAAAGCTCTAGATCCAATCCCCAAACCTGGCCCTAGTCCACTGACTTGCTACATCATCTTGGGCAAAACACTGTACCTTTATGCCGGGCGCGGTGGCTCACGCCTATAATCCCAGCACTTTGGGAGGCTGAGGTGGGTGGATCACGAGGTCAAGAGATCGAGACCATCCTGGTCAACATAGTGAAACCCCGTCTCTACTAAAAATACAAAAAATCAGCTGGGCATGGTGGTGCGTGCCTGTAATCCCAGCTACTCAGGAGGCTGAGGCAGGAGAATTGCCTGAATCCAGGAGGCGGAGGTTGCGGTGAGCCGAGATCGCGCCATTGCACTCCAGCCTGGGTAACAAAAGCGAAACTCTGTCTCAAAAAAAACAAGCCAAAAAAAACCACCCCAACACTGTACCTTTTTGAACCTCTGCTTTTTCACCTGTAGACAAAACTGTTAGATCTCAAGTCTGTGCTTTAGAGTGTTTTCATGGGAGGGACCCTCCCATCTTCTTCTGCCCCAGGGTCCCCAGTTCTCCTTCTCCCAGGAGGACTTCCTGACTTCCATCCTGCCCTCCCTCATGGAAATTGACACTGTGGTCTTCATTTTCACCCTGGATGGTAAGAGGAAAGATGGGAGTGATGAGGGGGGAAGTAGAATGACTCAGAGGCACTGTTATTTTTCTGGGTCTTAGGGTACCTGCTCAGAGGGAGGGATGGGGTGAATATCCTGACTGGACCCCAGCCAGGGGAGCAGGAGGAACAGCTGCACAATCAGCCTTTTGACTCCAATGCCCTCCTCTTCCTGATATCCTGATGTCCTTTGGCTCTGATATCCTCCTTCCTAGACAACCTCACGGAGGTGCAGACTATAGTGGAGCAGGTGAAAGACAAGACCAGCAACATCCAGGCCCTGGCACACAGCACCGTGGGGCAGTCCTTGCCGGTGAGAGTCCAACCGTGACAAGGGGACCCAGGCGGCAGTTATAGCCAGGTCTTCCTGGAGATGCTTCTCCTGCTCCTCTTTCTCTCTCTCCAGATCCCTCTGAAGAAGCTCTTTCCCTCCATCATCAGCATCACATGGCCACTGCTTTTCTTTGACTATGAAGGGAACTTCATCCAGGTATGGGGAATGGGAAAGTCATATCTGCATTAACAGGCTGGGAGGGAGAGGGACTCCAGGAATCAGAAAACCCAAGGCTGGAGGATAGAAAGCTCAGAGACATCTCTGATCTTCACAAAGCCAACTGGGAAAGGTCATGGGTTACCAGGTAACTAGTCAGAGTTCCCAAGGCAATGAACTACTGGGCTCAGCTGTTTCTAGGAATATGCAAAAAGTGCAGGATATGCCACCAGTCACCTGACAGGTGTTCATTTGTCCTTCAGGACAGGTTAATTATTATTATTATTTTTGACACAGAGTCTTGTTCTGTCGCCAGGTTGGAGTGCAGTGGTGCAATCTTGGCTCACTGCAACCTCTGCCTCCTGGGTTCAAGTGATTCTCGTGCCTCAAGCAGCTGGGACTACAGGCATCTGCCACCACGCCCGGCTAATTTTTGTACTCTTAGTAGAGACAGGTTTTTCCCATGTTGGCCAGGCTGGTCTTGAACTCCTGATCTCAAGTGATCTGCCTGCCTCAGCCTTCCAAAGTGCTGGGATTACAGGAGTGAGCCACCACACCCAGCCTGGTTTTATCTGTCTAAATAAATTGGAATTGTTTGAAACAAAGAGGCTTTATTTGGCCTGGTCAATCTTTAGCTATAGAAATATTTTCATCGTGGTTCATGCCTTTATTCCCAGCACTTTGGGAGGCCGAGGCAGACGAATCACCTGAGGTCAGGAGTTGGAAGCTAGCCCGGCCAACATGGTGAAACCCCACCTCTATTAAAAATACGAAAAAATTACCTAGGCATGGTGGCAGGTGCCTGTAATCTCAGCTACTCAGGAGGCTGAGGCAGGAGAATTGCTTGAACTTGAGAGGCAGAGGTTGCGGTGAGCCGAGAATGTGCCGTTGTACTCCTACCTGGGCAACAAGAGTGAAACTCTGTCTCAAAACAAACAAACAAAATAAATATTTTTGATGTAAACTGTTTCTACACTTTTATTTATATTTTTCTTTCTTGCCCTCCAAAGTGACGGTGGATATACTTTTATTCTGATAAAATTCAAACCTACAGAAAAATACAAGAATGGTACAGGGAACCACCCACATTCTTTTCCCTAGATTCATCAATCATTAACATTTTGCCATATTTGCTTCATCTCTTTCTTTTCTCCTGAATTATTTGAAATATAATTGGAGCTGGGTGCGGTGGCTCACGTCTGAAATCCCACACTTTGTGAGGCCAAGGCAGGCGGGTCACAAGGTCAGGAGTTTGAGACCAGTCTGACCAACATGGTGAAACCCCGTCTCTACTAAAAATACAAAAAGTAGCTGGGCATGGTGGCGCACACCTGTAATCCCAGCTACTCAAGAGGCTGAGGCAGGAGAATTGCTTGAACCTGGGAGACGGAGGTTGCAGTGAGCCGAGATCATGCCACTGCACTCCAGCCTGGATGGCAGAGTGAAACTCCATCTCAAAAAAAAAAAAAAAAAAGTGCCAGGCATGGTGGCTCATACCTTGGGAGCCACTTTGGGAGGTCAAGGTGGGTGGATGACAAGGTCAAGAGTTTGAGATCAGCCTGGCCAACATGGTGAAACCCTGTCTTTACTAAAAATGTAAAAATCAGCCAGGCCTGGTGGTGCATGCTTATAGTCCCAGCTACTCGGGAGGCTGATGTAGGAGGATTGCTTGACCCTGGGAGGCAGGAGGTTGCAGTGAGTCAAGATGGTGCCACTGCACTCCAGCCTGGGGACAGAGTGAGACTCCGTCTCAAAAAAAAAAAAAAAGAAAGATAATTGGAGATACTGCAATATGTCATACTAATCACTTGGCATATTTCCTTTAAAAACAAGGGCATTCACTGCATAATTACAATATAATTTTCCATTCAGGAAAATGACAATTTATATAATACTATTATCTATTATCCAGACCATATTCAGTTTCTCCAAGTACTCCTGTATTGTCTTTGTTTCCCAGATCCAGGATCCAGTCAAGGATAATGCACTGTATTCAGTTATCAGGTCTTTCGGTTTTCCTTTATTCCAGATGAGTTTCTTAGTTGTTGTTTTTTAACTCTTTCATGACATTGATATCTTAGAAGTCCAGGCCAATTGTTTCCCAGAATTTGCCTCACTTTGGATTTGCCTGATTATTTCTTCATTATATTCAGGTGAAATTTTTTGGCAGGAGTACTGCATAGGGGAGGTGTGCCCTTATCAGTGTATCACATCAAGGAGGCACCTGATGTCTGTTTGTCCCTTTATTGGTGATGGTACATTCTATCATTTGGCTAAGATGGTGTCTGTTAGATTTCTCTTTATTCTATTCTGCAGCAATCTTTCACCCAATGGTTTTAGCATCCACTGACAATTCTTGGTTGAATCAATTCTTACTATGGTAGTTTTTTAAATGGTGATTTTCTGTTTCTGTTCTTTCCATCTATATTCAGTAGTTGGCATTCTTCTGTAAAGAAAACCTTTCTCGGCCGGGTGTGGTGGCTCACATCTGTAATCCCAGCACTTTGGAAGGCCAAGGCAGGAGGATCACTTGAGGCCAGGAGTTTGAGGCCAGCCTGTCTGACATGGCAAAAACTCATCTCCACTAAAACTACAAAAATTAGTGGGGTGTGGTGGCATGCACCTGTAGTCCCAGATACTTGGGAGGCTGAGTCAGGAGAATCGCTTGAACTGGGAGGCAGAGGTTGCACTGAGCCGAGATCATCCTCTTGAACTCCAGCCTGGGCGACAGAGCAAGACTCTGTCTCAAAAAAATAATATTAATAAAATAAAATAAAATGGTTTTTTTTCTCTCCACCCTATCTACCCTATCTATCTTTATTTTTTAGTGTCAATATGGACTCATGAATTTTTTGTTGTTGTTAAATGTGTTTTAATCCATTCTTCTTATTATTCATTATTTATTTTAATGCTCAAAATGAGAGCTCATTCACGCTGGATCCTGTGTCCTTGTGATATAGCCACATCAGTATTTGAACACTCGTTGTTGTGTTTCTTTTTGCAAAATAATAATAACAATACCCTTCTTATGCAAAAGGTAGCATCTTTCTTTCTTTCTTTTTTTTTTTTTTTTTGAGATGGAGTTTCGCTCTTGTTACCCAGGCTGGAGTGCAATGGCGCGATCTCGGCTCACCGCAATCTCCGCCTCCTGGGTTCAAGCAATTCTCCTGCCTCAGCCTCCCAAGTAGCTGGGACTACAGGCACGCGCCACCATGCCCAGCTAATTTTTGTATTTTTAGTAGAGACGGGGTTTCATCATGTTAACCAGGATGGTCTTGATCTCTTGACCTCGTGATCCACCCGTTTTGTAGCATCTTCCTTACATCTTGCATTTTTTGCTCAAGATATTCTGAAAATCACTACAGTGCAGTTATTAGATCTCTTCCTCATTATTCCTTATTTGTGCGTGCGTGTGTGTGTGTGTGTGTAACAATAGTTTGCCCAGTCAATCTCCTATGCAGGAACACAAAACCGTCGTCCCAGGCTCACCTATACTTTCTGTGGTCCAGCCCTGGAGTCATTCATTTTTCTGAGCAGCCCTGGTTCTTGTTAGTGGGGTTTAGCATTTAGAAACCTAAATGCTAGGGATGTTCACTACTACTGGTGTGTCTTTGCCTCTGAGCCCTATCAGTAGAAAGAATAAGGGTGTGTATATGTGTGTGTTTAGGTATACACACATGCAGATATATACACGTATGCCTATGTATATTTACATACAGATGAATGTGTGTGTACATATATATACTCATACATTTATATATACCTATATATATAATATTTATATATTCTCACCCTTCTTCCCCTTTCCCTTAGTGATAATGTTGATGTCCAACATCATCAATATATTTGCTGTCTCATTCCATTTCCATTCATGCTGGTAGGGAATGCATTTAATTAGTTACTGGTTTATCCTCCTATGTTTCTTTTTGGGAAAAAAAAGTGTATCTATCTATCTATCTATCTATCTATCTATCTATCTATCTATTTATATATAGTTTGCACTTCTTTCTTATACAAAAGGCAGTATACTATACTCTTGTGCTTTAAGACAATATTCTGAAAATCATTCTATATTGGCTTATAGACTGTTCCTCATTAATGCTTACCTTTGTGTGTTTCCACATATATAATAGTTTACTCAGGCAATCTCCTATGTAGGACATTTAGGTTTCCTATATTTTGCTGTTATCAATCATGGTGTAATGAATGTGCATGTATTTTTGTAATGTTAGAAGTGTATCTTTGGGGTAAATTTCTAGAAATATTAGAGCTGGGTCAAAGGGTACATACATATGTCCTTTTGTTAGATATTGTAAAATTTCCTTCCATTAGGTTTACTATTTTGCTTTCCATATCAGCCATATACGAGAATGCTGCTCTCCTACAGCCTCTTTGAGAGCTCTGTGAAGCTTTTGGATTTTGCCAATCTGATAGATTAGAAATACCACTGTGTAGTATTTATTTATTTATTACTATTATTATTATTATTGTGATGGAGTCTTGCTCTGTCATCCAGGCTGGAGTGCAGTGGTGTGATCTCAGCTTACTGCAACCTCTGCCTCCCAGGTTCAAGCAATTCTCTTGCCTCAGTCTCCCGAGTAGCTGGGATTGCAGGTAACCGCCAGCATGCCAGGTTAATTTTTGTAATTTCAGTGGAGACAGGATTTCACCATGTTGGCCAGGCTGGTCTTGAACTCCTGATCTCAGGTGATCTGCCCATGTTGGCCTCTCAAAGTGCTGAGATTACAGATGTGAGCCACCATGCCCAGCCTTCTTTTATTATTTTTTCGAGACAGGGTCTCACTTGTCACCTACTCTGGAGTGCCGTGGTGTGATCATAGCTCACTGCAGCCTCAACTTCTTGGGCTCTGGTTATCCTCCCACCTCAGCCTCCCGAGTAGCTGGGGCTACAGGCGCTTGCCACCATGCCCAGCTAATTTTTATATTTTTGGTAGAGACAGGGTTTTGCCATGTTGCTCAGGCTGGTCTTGAACTCCTTAGTTCAAGTGATCCATGCACTGTGGCCTCCCAAAATGCAGGGATTAGGGGCATGAGCTACCACGCTCAGCCTAATTTTCATTTCTATTTCTCTTATTATGCATGAAGTTGAACATCTTTCACATGTTTAAGGGTCTTTAGTAAATCTTTTTTTCCCTTTGTGGAGTATTTGTTCATGTATTTTATTCCTTTTTCTAACAAGTTTTTGGTCTTTTTGATCTCTTGATTTTGACTTCTTTAAATTAACAACAATAGCCTTTTACTTCTTACCTCTGTTGTAAATATTTTCTGTTTATTTATTTATTTATTTTTCTCTCTCTGGGTTTTAACCATGCAAAAATGCTTTAGTCTTTCTGACGTTGAACTTATCAATCTTTCTTTTATTGAATTTGAATCTTGAGGCACATAATTTTTTTTTTTTTTTTGAGACAGAGTCTTGCTCTGTCATCCAGGCTGGAGTGCAGTGGCATAATCTTAGCTCCTTGGTTCAAGTGATTCTTCCGCCTGAGTCTCCCAAGTAACTGGGATTACAGACATGTGCCACCATGCCCAGCTAATTTTTGTATTTTCAGTAGAGGCACGGTTTCGCCATGTTGACCAGGCTGATCTTGAACTCCTGATCTCAAGTGATCCACCCTCCTCAGCCACCCCAAGTGCTGGGATTACAGGCATGAGTTACTGTTCCTGGCCCAGAAAGCTTTTTCTAACACCTAAATTGTAAACGAATTCCACTCATGTTTTCTGCTAGTAAATATGATTTCTTTTCTGCTTTTTTTTTTAACACTTAGATGTTTAATTTATTGGGAGTTTATTCTTGTATATGGGTTAAAGCATGAATCCACCTATATATTTTTCCTAATGATTATCCAATTGTCCATATATATGTGTGTGTGTATGCATTTTTTTTTCTTTTTTTGAGACAGAACCTCACTCTGTCACCCAGGCTGGAGTGCAGTGATGTGATCAGATTTCCCTGCAATCTCAAACTCCTGGGCTGAAGAAATCATCCTGCTTCAGCCTCCCAAGTAGCTAGGACTACAGGAACATGCCACTACGCCTGGCTAATTTAAAAAAAAAAATTTTTTTTTGTAGAGGCAGGGTCCTGCCATGTGTTGCACAGGCTGGTTTCAAATCCCTGGCCTCAAGCAATCCTCCTACCTCCCAAAGAGCTGGGATTACAGGCATGAGCCACCATGCCTGGCTCCAATATAATTTTTTTTTTTAGACGGAGTTTTGCTCTTGTTTCCCAGGCTGGAGTGCAATGGCGCGATCTCGGCTCACCGCAACCTCCGCCTCCTGGGTTCAGGCAATTCTCCTGCCTCAGCCTCCTGAGTAGCTGGGATTACAGGCACGCGCCGCCATGCCCAGCTAATGTTTTGTATTTTTAGTAGAGACGGGGTTTCACCATGTTGACCAGGATGGTCTCGATCTCTCGACCTCGTGATCCACCCGCCTTGGCCTCCCAAAGTGCTGGGATTACAGGCTTGAGCCACCGCGCCCGGCCTATATGTTTTAATTACAGAGGCATTATGGTATGTTTAGTATCCAATAGAGTTAGTTCTTCATTCTTCTTTTTTTTTTTTCTTTTTTTTCTTTTTTTTGAGACAGAGTCTTATTCTGTCACCCAAGTTTGAGTGCAATGAAGTGATCTCAGCTCACTGCAACCTTCACCCCCCGGCTTCAACTGATTCTCCTGCCTCAGTATCCCGAGTAGCTGAGATTACAGGCACACATTACCATGCCAGGCAAATTTTCTTTTGTATTTTTAGTAGAGATGGGTGTGAGACACCATGCCTGGCCTATTCTTCTTTTTAAGGATTTTTCTGGCTATAATTCCTGGACTATTTTTTCCATATGTACTTTCAAATGAACATGTCTCACTCCAAATTATGTAAAATTTAAAATATTTTTGTGTGAATGATGTTAATGTTAGTGGTATAAATGGTGTGTGGTGTAACCCGGATCTAACTGACCTCTCTCCTAAAGTGCAGTCTGACATACATTCTATAGCATCAGTACTGCATACTTACTGGCAAGTTTCTTGCTGAAATTGGTCAGATACCTGTTCTTACACTCAGTGTCCTGGTAATTCACTTGTTGAAATGTTTTCAGCATACTGTCTTCCAGGGTTTCGTGTGACCAGCAATTTCTAGAGTTACAGAATAAAGAGGTAAAACTAGCAGTAATCTGTTTCCTTAGCCTGGCTAGGACCAAGTATATTAGCCCATTTTCATACTGCTCTAAAGAACTGCCCGAGACTGGGTTATTTATTTGTTTATTTATTTTTTTGAGATGGAGTCTCACTCTGTTGCCCAGGCTGGAGCGCAGTGGTGTGATTTCAGCTCACTACAACCTCTGCCTCCCGGGTTCAAGCAATTCTCCTGCCTCAGCCTCCCAAGTAGCTGGGATTACAGGCACCCACCACCACGTCTGGCTAATTTTTGTATTCTTAGTAGTAGAGACAGGGTTTCACCATGTTGGCCAGGCTGGTGTCAAATTCTTTTTTTTTTGAGACGGAGTTTTGCTCTTGTTACCCAGGCTGGAGTGCAATGGCGTGATCTCGGCTCACCGCAACCTCCACCTCCTGGGTTCAGGCAATTCTCCTGCCTCAGCCTCCTGAGTAGCTGGGATTACAGGCACGCGCCACCATGCCCAGCTAATTTTTTGTATTTTTAGTAGAGATGGGGTTTCACCATGTTGACCAGGATGGTCTTGATCTCTTGACCTCGTGATCCACCTGCCTCGGCCTCCCAAAGTGCTGGGATTACAGGCGTGAGCCACCGCGCCCGGCTGGTGTCAAGCTCTTGACCTCGTGATCTGCCTGCCTTGGCCTCCCAAAGTGCTGGGGTTACAGGCGTGAGCCATCATGCCCAGCAAGACTTGGTAATTTATAAGAAAAAGAGGTTTAAGTGACCCACTATTCAGCATGGCAGGGGAGGCCTCAGGAAACTTATGATCATGGCAGAAGGTGAAGGTGAAGCAAGACATCTTCTTCACAAGGTGGCAGAAAGGAGAGTGCTGAGTGAAGGGAGAAGGGCCCCTTATAAAACCATCAGGTCTCATGAGAACTCACTATCACAAGAACAGCATGCCCCCCTCCCCCCAATGATTCAATTACCTCCACCTGCTCTCTCCTTTGACTCATAGGGATTTTGGGGATTACAACTCGAGACGAGATTTGGGTGAGGACACAAAGCCTAACCATATCGCCAATTAATTAATCCCCTCAACACCTTTATGGGGCCCTTGTTTCCCTGCTAATGTGCCAATAGGTATTATAAGTGCCTAAGTGGACAAGTTATAAGGGCCAAAAACAGGTGGCAGTTTTATATTCACGATATCACGTTTGTACAACTTTTTAGTTTTCAACATGCCTTCACATAGGTTCTCTCATTCATCCAGGAGATATTTGTGGCAAAGTAGGAAAGGCCCTCATCATTGAATCAGAACACCTGGATTTAGGTCCTCATTCTGCATCTCATTATCATATGAGCTTCTCCAAGTTAGATTACTTCTGACCTCTAGTTTCCTCATATGTAGAAAAGAGGATAGATAAACCTATTCTGTAGGGTTGTTACAAAAATTAAATAGAATTCATTGTTCAACAAACATTTTTTTTCCCCCTGAGACACAGTCTCACTCTGTTGCCCAGGCTGGAGTGCAGTGGCACAATCTTAGCTCACTGCAACCTCTACCTCCCAGGTTCAAGAGATTCTTGTGCCTCAGCCCCCCGCCCCTGCCCAGTAGCTGGGACTACAGGTGTGTGCCACCACTCCCAGTTAATTTTTGTATTTTTAGTAGAGACAGGATTTCATCATGTTGGCTAGGCTTATTGAGAACTCCTGACCTCAGGTGATCCACCCACCTCGGCCTCCCAAAGGTGGGATTATAGGCATGAGCCACTGTGCCTGGCCTCAACAAACGTATTGATCAGCTACCATGTGTCAGTCATGGTCTAAAGGACTGGGACCCTGGAGCAGAATAAGACACCATCTCTGCCCTCTCAAGAAGCCTGTGGTTTAGTGGAATGAATCCCACTCCTCCTGTCTGATACTCGGGGAGAAAAAGGAAAGTTTCAGCAGGATCAAAATCCTACTGTAGAAAAACTCAGAGACCATATCTGTCTACGTAGGGATCAAAACCACAAATAGGTGAAGCTATCAGGTTTGCCTGAGACAGTCCTGGTTTATATCTATTGTCCTAACATTTAAACCCTGGGCTGTTTAAACAAATTATGTCTGCACTTTGGTCCCTGGTTCTGGACAGTTGGTTTCCTGTGTGATAACGGGGCCCTGTTTGCTTTGCTGCTCTTCCGTCCTCTAATTTTTGACACCCCAATGTGTCTGCCCTTTTCAGAAGTTCCAGCGTGAGCTAAGCACCAAATGGGTGCTGAATACAGTGAGTACAGGTGCTCACGTGCTTCTTGGTAAGATCCTGCAAAACCACATGTTGGACCTCCGAATTAGCAACTCCAAGCTCTTCTGGCGGGCACTGGCCATGCTGCAGGTAGGGATGTGAAGGGGCAGGGCTGGGTGGGGCCTGGCCTCAATGCTTAGGCTGCCAGAGGAGGGCATTTTGCAGAGGAAGGATACAGGCTGCCTTTTCTCCTGTGTGCTGTTCTTCCTATTAAGTGCATCTTCCCCTTAAGAAGTGTGTGTGTCCTGAAATACCATGGGGTAGGGGGAAGAAAGAAGTGTGTGTGCATGCATGGGTGTGTGTTGGTGAAACTGTAATTATTAGGCAAGACTCTTTCAGTTATAAACATGTGATGGAAAACCAGTTCATACTGGTTTAAGCTAAACAAGCAAAATGACAGCTGATAGAACTGAACAGTCTTAGGGCAGTTGAATCCATGTGCTCCAGAGCTCTCTACCCTTGATTCTGCTTTCCTCTGTATTGCTCTCATTCTTTTCTTTTCTTTTCTTTTCTTTTTTTTCTTTTCTTTTTTTGAGATGGGGTCTTGCTCTATCGCCCAGGCTGGAGTGCAGTGGTGTGATTCCAGCTCAGTGCAACCTCTGCCTCCGAGGTTCGAGTGATTCTTCTGCCTCAGCCTCCTGAGTAGCTGGGATTACAGGCACCTACCATCATGCCCAGCTAATTTTCATCTATTTTAGTAGAGACAGGGTTGCTACTAAACCCTGTCACGTTGGCCAGGCTGGTCTCGAACTCCTGACTTCAGGTGATCCACCCGCCTCAGTCTCCCATAGTGCTGGGATTACAGGTGTGAGTCACCACACCTGGCGTTGCTCTCATTCTTAGCCAAGTTTTCTCCATTAGGTGGCAAAGTGGCCACCAGTAGTGCCCACCTGACATCCTACTTAGCAACACTAGTGGGCAAAGAACTTGCCTGTCCTGTGGTTCTTGGAAATGCCTGGTTGGGGGCTCTGGCTTGGGTCACGTGCATGTCCCTGAAGCGATCACTGTTCTCCAGGGGAAGGGGTGCTCTGCCCAGTCTGGTTCATGTGCTTTCCCTTCAGGATGGTGGTGGAAGAAGGGCTGGGAGGTGAGCCTCAATCCCACCTCATTACCTGAGCATCGGGGAGTGATAGATCCCCAGAGGAAAACCAAGGTGCTGATACCAGAAGGAGGAGTGGATGCTAAGCAGACAGCACAACAGGTGGTCATGAAAATGGGGTTGCCAGAGTCAGCAAATAAAAATACAGGACACCCAGTTAAATTTGAATTTCAGATAAATAAGGAATAATTTTTTCATCAAATATGCCTTATGAAGTTTGAGACATTTTTAAATTTTTTTCATTACATACCTGGATGTCCTGTATTTTTATTCACAAAATCTGACAACCTTATGTGAAAGGAATCAATCAAAACATTTAATGAGCACCCACCAGGTCCCCAAAGTAACTATGGTCTTTACTGATGTCCAGTGGAGGTACAAAGAAGGTGGGGTCGGTATGCATTATAGCAAAAAGAAGGCCTCAGGGAAGAGGTGGTATTTGAGCTAGGCCTGTTGGTTATGGCGTGGAGAGATGGACAGAAGGGCATTCCTGTGAGGGCATTCACCAGGTTCCAGAAGGGAGACTGGGCATGATATGTGAGGGACACAGGTCTGACAGCTCTGACCAGAGTGGAGAGTCATTTTAAAGCATAGTGAGGGATTACGAATATGTAGGAAGGGGAGGGATGTGGAAGCTTAAAGTCAGACAGGAGGCTGGGTGCGGTGGCTCACACCTGTAATCCCAGCACTTTGGGAGGCTAAGGTGGGTGAATCACGAGGTTAAGAGAATGAGACCTTCCTGGCCAACATGATGAAACCCTATCTCTACTAAAAATACAAAAATTAGCAGGGTGTGGTGGCATGCACCTGTAATCCCAGCTACTTGGGAGGCTGAGGCAGGAGAATTGCTTGAACCTGGGAGGCAGAGGTTTCAGTGAGCTGATTGCACCATTGCACGCTATCCTGGACAAAAGAGCAAGACTCAGGGCCGGGCGCGGTGGCTCAAGCCTGTAATCCCAGCACTTTGGGAGGCCGAGGTGGGTGGATCACGAGGTCAAGAGATCGAGACCATCCTGGTCAACATGGTGAAACCCCGTCTCTACTAAAAATACAAAAAAAAAAAAAAAAAAAAAAAAAAAAAATTAGCTGGGCATGGTGGCGCGTGCCTGTAATCCCAGCTACTCAGGAGGCTGAGGCAGGAGAATTACCTGAACCCAGGAGGCGGAGGTTGTGGTGAGCCGAGATCGTGCCATTGCACTCCAGCCTGGGTAACAAGGGCGAAACTCCGTCTCAAAAAAAAAAAAAAAAAAAAAAAAAGCAAGACTGCCTCAAAAAAAAAAGCTAAACAGGAATTTGGACTTGCCAAATGCAGCTAGACATGTGCTGTCCAAAGTACTGGCCACCAGCCACATGTGGCTACTGAGCACTTGAAATATGCCTAGTGTAGGGCCGGGCGCGGTGGCTCAAGCCTGTAATCTCAGCACTTTGGGAGGCCGAGGCGGGTGGATCACAAGGTCAGGAGATCGAGACCATCCTCGTCAACATGGTGAAACCCCATCTCTACTAAAAATACAAAAAATTAGCTGGGCATGGTGGCACGTGCCTGTAATCCCAGCTACTCAGGAGGCTGAGAGAGGAGAATTGCCTGAACCCAGGAGGCGGAGGTTGCGGTGAGCCAAGATCGTGCCATTGCACTCCAGCCTGGGTAACAAGAGTGAAACGAAACTCTGTCTCAAAAAAAAAAAAAAAAAAAAAAAAAAAAAAGAAATATGCCTAGTGTGACTGAGGAACTGAATTTCTAATTTTATGTAAAAACCAAAGCTGTATAATTTTAAAATTAAAAGTAACTTTAGTGTTTTAGTAGAACTACGTTCCACTTTATAGCATTGCAAATCTAGCACCTAAATTGAGGCGTGTTGGCTGGGCGTGGTGGCTCATGCCTGTAATCCCAACATTCTGGGAGGCTGAAGAGGGCAGATTACTTGAGGTCAGCAGTTCGAGACCAGCCTGGTCAATATGGTGACACCCCATCTCTACTAAAAATAAAAATAAAAAAATAAATTAGCTGGGCATGGTGGCATATGCTAATATTTCTATCTACTGGGGAGGCTGAGGCAAGAGAATCGCTTGAACCTGGGAGGTGGAGGGTGCAGAGAGCCAAAATAGCATCACCACATTCCAGCCTAGGTGACAGAGTGAGATTCTGTCTCAAAAAAATAAAAATAAAAATAAAGCCACAAAAAACCAAATTGACATGTGCTATAATTGTAAAATACACATTGGATTTCAAAATACAAAATAAAAATATAGAAAAATGTTGCAAAATATCTCACTAATAATGTTTCATATTGTTTACATTTGGTTATATATTGAATTAAATAAAATATATTATTAAAATTGATTTCAGGCCAGGTGTGGTGCCTCATGCCTCTAATCCCAGCACTTTGGGAGGCTGAGGGGGTGGATATTCTGAGGTCAGGAGTTTGAGACCAGCCTGGCCAACATGGCAAAACGCTATGTCTACTAAAAATACAAAAATTAGCCAGACGTGGTGGTGCATGCCTGTAATCCCAGCTACTCAGGAGGCTGAGGCAGGAGAATCGCTTGAACCTGGGAGGCGGAGGTTGCAGTGAGCCAAGATTGTACCACTGCACTCCAGCCTGGGTGACAGCATGAGACTCTGTCTCAAAAAAAAAAAAAAAAAAAAAAAAAAAAAATTCTCCTGCCTCAGCCTCCCGAGTAGCTGGGATTATGGCATGCACCATCACACCCGGCTAATTTTTTTTGGTATTTTTAGCAGAGACCAGGTTTCATCATATTGGCCAGGCTGGTCCCAAACTCCTGATCTTGTGATCTGGCCACCTCGGCCTCCCAAAGTGCTGGGATGAGCCACCGTGCCTGGCCAATTTCACCTATTTCTTCTTTCAATGCAGCTACTAAAAACTTAAACTTACATATGTGGTTTGCGTTATGTATTTTTCTTCATTTTTATTTTTTAGAGACAGGGTCTCACTTTGTTACCCAGGCTGGAGTACAGTGGTGCCATCATGGCTCACTGCAGCCTCAAACTCCTGAGCTCATGAAATCCTCCCACCTCAGCTTCCTGAGTAGTTGGGATGATAGGCGGGTGCCACCATGCCCAGCTAATTTATTTTATTTTTTGTAGAGATGGGGCCTTGCTATGTTGCCTAGGCTGGTCTCAAACTCCTGGGCTCAAGTGATCCTCCTGTGTTGGCCTCCCAAATTGCTAGGATTACAGATGTGAGCCACCGTGCCCAGCCTTGCATTTTTTTCTACTGGACAATGCTGAGCTAGACAAAGAGGAGTGTAGTGACAAAATGAAAGCAGTGTCTGCAGTCTTACACTAGTGTGCAAGATGGATTTGGTTAGGGAGGAAACTAGAGAGAGGGAGTCCAGATTACCAGCCTATGGGATTGATGGGACACAGATGCAAATTTGACCAATTTGCCATTAATTCTCCAGTTTAACACAGCCAATCAAGGCCCACCACCAAGCCCTTTAACCCAGCTTTTCTTTACACCTGGGAATTACGAGTTTAGGATTGCCGACATGGACAAATCATCTATAGACTCTGCAGCCTCAGGATCCCAGCCTCCCACTCTCCCAGTTCATTATTCTCCCTTGACTCCATTCTTAGTTCCTCTGGCCTTTAGCCTGACACTGATCTTGCCACTTCTTCCATAGCGGTTCTCTGGACAGTCCAAGGCTCGATGCATCGAGAGCCTCCTCCAAGCAATCCACTTTCCCCAGCCACTGTCAGATGATATTCGGGCTGCTCCCATCTCCTGCCATGTCCAGGTTGCACATGAGAAGGAACAGGTATCCTGCCCACTGCTGGTCATTCAACAAATACTTTTTGAGTACTTTCAATGTGTCAGGAAGTTTGGCACTGGGTTTACAAAGCTCAGTGGCACCCTGCTCACGAGGACTTCTGCATTCATGGGGGAGACATGACTGTGACAAGTGGTCACTGAGGTGTGAAAAAGTACTACAGGGGCAGAGAAAAGGAGTCTTCTATTCTGCCTAGGAGGGGAGTCAGGCAAGAGAGGGAGAAGGACTGGGTTTCAAAGGACAAATAGGAGTTTTCCTGGTCAAAGTGAAGGTTTCTTTCTGCTCTTAATTCACCTCCTTACCACTTTCTAGTCTTCATAACATCCTATTTTGCATCTAACCTAGTGGCTCCTGATTCCTATATCAAATGCTTTAGCTCCTCCAAGGCATGTATATATATATATATATATATATATATATATATATATATATATATATATATATATATATATATATTTAGAGGGAGTCTTGCTCTGTCACTCAGGTTGCTGGGGTGCAGTGATGTGATCTTGACTTACTGCAACCTCTGTCCACTGGGTTCAAGCGATTCTCTTGCTTCAGCCTCCCGAGTAGCTGGGATTGCAGGTGCCAGCCACCAACACCTGGCTAATTTTGGTATTTTTAGTAGAGACGGGGCTTCACCATGTTGGTCAGGCTGATCTCAAACTCCTGAGCTCAAGTGATCTGCGCACGAACTTCCTCTGGGGTTCTTTCTCTGATGACCTCATTTCCTCGGGCTTCAGTGCTCGCATGCCTTTTCCCCACAGGTGATCCCCATCGCCTTGCTCAGCCTCCTATTCCGGTGCTCGATCACTGAGGCTCAGGCACACCTGGCTGCAGCTCCTTCTGTCTGTGAGGCTGTCAGGAGCGCTCTCGCTGGGCCAGGCCAGAAGCGCACAGCGGACCCCCTCGAGATCCTAGAGCCTGCCGTTCAGTGAACTGACATTTCTGGTTGGGTGAAAGGGGCCCAACCCTGCCCACTCTAGCCCAGCCCACCCAAGGGACTTGTGCCAGCAGCACATGTGGGAGGGAGAAGCCCCGTTTCCAGGGGTACCAGTAGCCCAGGGTGGGGAAAAGGATTCTCTCCACTTTGGGGGAGAGTTCTTGCTCTTGACCTAGTGCTTTCTACCTTCACTCAATTATTCTGATTTCAGAAATAAAATGAAATGTCTTATTTTGGAAAGTTAACCTTTCAAAGTCAGTAAATCAAACTGAGTAGATCAGAGGTGGGACAGGATGGATGGCATGGGTTGGTCTTAACAGCATGTTTGTTTGTTTAATTCTGCCCCCAACTCAATTTCATTGTCTCTAACACAAGCCTTAAATAGCATCCCTGTATTCCTCATTACCAACATGCAGCCAGGATGCATCATGCACACACACTCCAATCCCACACAGACAAATGACGAGGGGTAGGAACTTTTAGATAATTCCAGGACAAGAGGGAAGAAGCTGTGTCCCTAACATAGGAAACCCAGCAAAAGGGCAGTCTTAATCAGTCAGGACAAGATCCTTATCCCTAGAATGAATGCTACCTCCATGCATTAGACCGTGAAATGAGGGTCACATCCCCTGCCCTGTGTTTGTAAGAGGAACATAAGGAACTCTGGGGGTGCTGCACATCCTTGGTGGTGGGACCCAATAAATACTAGAAACTGCAGGCTGTACATTTTAGACACCAGGTGCCCCGTGTTTTGACAAAGGCACACTTGTTCATTCGAGATTCATGTCAGCTCTTTAGGGCCTGTGATATATATGGCCCTGACAGTAGAGAGCTGGTTCCTCTTTGTGCCTGAGAAATATCCAGGTAATAGACACTCAGGAACATTCCTCTTGGGATGAAACTCTTTGGAAAGACGGTGACTGGAAAGCAGCCAGACTTTGGTTTCATGCAGATAAAGTAATCAACCCCGTTATGGTGGCCATACGTCCCTCTGCACCTGTGGGCCTGAAGCCTCTAGCTGAACTCTATTTTCCTTTTCCACATCTTCACATTGCTGCCTTGGGTCATCAGCAACCCCTCTTTCCCCAGCCACTGCTCTTACGGGGCCTCCTGAGTGCCACCCCTTTCATCCTCCACAAATACCTCTTCGAAATTCAAGATGGCTAAAGTTAGAAAAGGATCCTGCAAAAGCCCTCTGTGTCTTTTTCCCCACAGCTCCCTCCCACGTTCTTTCACTGGGTCAGTTCATCTCTCAGCATAGCATCATGAACACTGTCAAGTCTGAGAGGATATCTAGTATTCCGGGGCCCCAAAGGGCAGAGCATGCCTTGATCCTGTTGATGATGCCAAGATGTACAGTAGCCCCCTCCCACATTTGGAGGGGTTAGGGCACAGGGTTAGATTTCTCCAAGGCTGGATGCAGAAGAACTCTAGAAGCCCCAAGTTCTTTTAGTTGCCAAGTACGTGGATGGTATGAAGAGATCGAGTGAATTCAATTCTTATGTAGTCGGATACAATACTTGGGTGTTATGAACAAGGTGGAGTACTGCTCAGCTTTCGGGTACATTAGAAGCTAGACACACTCTGACCTTGTGGCAGAGACAAAGATGACTAAGATCTGATCCCTACTTCCTAGAAACTCACAAGCACATAGCAATTCTAATATAAGACAGAGTTGAAGTGGTTTAGAACAGCAGGGTAAGTACAGAGAGCTGCTAAAATCACAAGGCAGGCCAAGAGTCAAGGAAAGTTTTGGAAGAAAGGAGGCTGGGGTAGGGAAAAGAAACAGCCAAAGAAAATCTGAGAATGTTTTAAGACTTACAGGGGTATGTGGATCTGATAACACAGAATCCGGTCATTGTCAATGGGATTTGTGCTCTAGGCAGAGCTAAGGAAGTTCAAAGATTTTTTTAGAACTGTGCAGAGATAAATGATAGGGTGACAGCTTTTGCAGTTATTTGGAGAAAGTAAACATCTGAGGCCAAAAACAGCAAGAGAGTAATCCATTATTAATACAAGGCAGTAATTATGTAGAAATGACTAAAGGGCCTGGGCCTGAAGACTGGATTAGATTGTGGAAGATGAAGAAAACAATTTTCTGGGACATATATTTGCTGAATCAAAAGCAAAAGGGGGCCAGGCATGCTATCCTAGCTACTTGGGAGGCTGAGATGGGAAGATCACTTGAGCCCAGAAGTTCAAGGCCAGGCTGGGCAACATAACAAGACCCTGGCTCTAAAAACAAAACAAAACAGAACAAAAGAAGAGGCGGTGGGGGCAAAAGATATTTGGATATTGCACATACTCTAAGCCTGATTTATATATATAGAAAATGGATACATAGTATATATTACTATATGTATAATACATAATGGATATTATATAAATTCCATTATATGTGTGTATACACACACACACCCACACACACACACACACATATATAATGGAACTCATGCTCTCTCCTCCAAAATCAGCTAGCTATTCTTTTCATAATTCAGATGGTATTTTTTTTTTTTTTTTTTTGGGACAGGGTCTCACTCTGTTGCCCAGGCTGCAGTGCAGTGGTGTGGTCATAGCTCACTGCAGCCTTGAACTCCTTGGCTCAAGCAATCTTCCTGCCTCAGCCTCTCAAGTAGCGAGGACTACAAATGTGTACCAAAACACCCAGTTCATTTTTACATTTTTTTGTAGAGATGGGGCCTTGCTATGTTGCTCAGGCTGGTCTTGATTCCTGGCCTCCAGTGATCTTCCTGCTTTAGTCACCCAAAGTGCTGGGATTATATGTGTGAACCACCATACCTGGCCATCATTCATCTGGTCTAATATTCAGATTGTTTTGAATATTACAGAGCCTGCAGCCAGCTCTTGAATATTAGATAAGCTGTAAGGTTGAAAGAGGATGTTTGTAGGAGACAGAGGGGTCTCCATCTGGTTCCAGGGATGAGGTCTATAAACACAGCAAAATACCTAAGATCCTATGGAAATTTAGGATTGGACCCAATTGGACGGGCAGCTCAAATCCTAGGGTTGAGAGGACAGGTACTGTGTCTAGGTGCTGCAAAATGCTCCCATCCTGGGAGAGCGAAGTGGGTCATTTTTCAGCTAGTGACTGGGGTGCTGTGGAGGAGGAAAAAGAGACAGGTAGAGGATCCCTGGAACATCTTATAATGACAGAAAGTAAGGAATTGATCAAAAACTCCACAAGGATGAGAATATGTCAAAGGGATACAGGACCCAAAGTGAAAGAGCTCCTAGTGTGTAAAGTGGGAACAATTTGAACAACAAATAAATACACAAGCTGGGCATGGTGGCAGGTGACGGTCAGCTACTTGGGAAGCTGAGGTGGGAGGATCAATTGCTTAAGCCCAGGAGGTCAAGGCTGCAGTGAGCTGTGTTCATGCCACTGCACTCCAGCCTGGGTGACAGAGTGAGACCCTGTCTCAAATAAATTAACTTAAAAAATATATTTTAAAATACGTGGTTTAAAAAAATACACAAATACACCTGAATTCGTAACATTATAAGCAAATGATTGAATAAAGTGGGGGCAAGGTACCAATCTTTCCTAAAGAAGAATTCTTGATAATAAAACACACACACACACACACACAGCCCTTTAGGAAATGGAGCTTAACCACCCCACACCACCTCTCCTCCAAAGTGTGTTAGATTTACGGGCTCACTACAAAAAAACAGAGTATGGGAAAGGGAAGTGATTTTACAGTGGAAAAACCTGGCAAGCACTACCCTAATCAAGTAATCAAGATTAGCATCGCCAGTTGGTATCACGTACCTCCTGATATAATGAGAAAAGCATGTCACCTCTGTGGTATTCTTCCCCCAAACACATAACCTCAGTCTAAGCATAAACAAAACATCACAGTAACCCAACTTTAGAAACATAGTACAAAATACCTGTTCATATTACAAAATACCTGAAAATTTTCAGTCACGGAAAACAGGGAAAGACTGCAAAACTGTCAGAGACAAGAAGAGCCTCAGGAGGCATGACACACATAGAGTGTGCTACCCTCGGTTGGATCCTGGAAATATAAAGAACTTTAGTGGCAAAACTTGTGAAATCGGATGAAATCTGGAGTTTAGCTAATAGTAAATACACCAATGTTAATCTCATGGTTTTGACAAATGTACCAAAGTTATCTAAGATGTTAATGTTAGGTGAAACTAGGCGAAGAATGTATGGGAACTTGCTGTACTAGCTTTGTAACTTTTCTGTAAACCTGAAATTATTTGAAAATAAAAAGTTTATTTAAAAAATAAAATTCAACTGAAAGCCTTTCCTCTTAGATCTGTGTCCCGACCTGCAGGACGACAACAAGGGCCCGAAGGGAGGGAGTGGGGATGGATGGGCAGGAGACGCGAGAAATGGAGACAAGACAGGAGTCTGATCAAGTCTCGTTTATTGTTGCTGAGCTCACAGCTTAAATAGGCCAGGCAGGGGGGCGGGGCAAAGGAAGCTTGCAGTTGGGAAATTGCGGCCAGGTGTGCCTCGTGCCGTTACCAGCCTCGTGCCGCCTCGTGCCGTCCACGGGCTGGACCTGAATCATCAGGACTTGAGCCTTCCACAAGCGGCACCTGGGCTCTCTTGGCCCCAGGATTTGGCCTGCTGCTCACAGCCTCCCACAGATCTGGAACATACAAAGGTGCCCACTTTCAACACTGTTATTCAACATAGGACTGGGAGTCCTAGCTAGACCAATCAGACAAGAGAAAGAAATAAATCCATCAAAATTGGAAAGCAAGAAGTCAAATTATCCTTATTTGAAGATGATGTGATCTTCTTCTTATTAATTTTTGAGATGGAGTCTCGCTCTGTTGCCCAGGCTGGAGTGCAGTGGCACCATCTCAGCTTACTGTAACCTCTGCCTTCCAAGTTCAAACAAATCTCCTGCCTCAGCCTCCCTGAGTAGCTGGGATTACAGGCACTCACCACCATGCCCAGCTAATTTTTGTATTTTTACTAGAGTCAGGGTTTCACCGCGTTAGCCAGGTTGGTCTGGAACTCCTGACCTCAGGTTTTCCACCCTCCTCAGCCTCCCAAAGTGATGAGATTACAGGTGTGAGACACCACACCTGGCCAATGTGAGCTTATATTTGGAAAAACCTAAAGACTCCATCCAAAGACTATTACAACTGATAAAAAAAATTCAGTAAAGTAGTAGTATACAAAATCAACATACAAAAATCTGTAGCATTTCTATATGACAACAGTGAACAGTCTGAAAAATAAATTTAAAAAGTAATCCCATTTACAGTAGCCACAAATAAAATACCTAGGAATTAACCAAAGAAGTGAAAGATCTCTACAGTGAAAGCTATAAAACACTGATGAGAGAAATTGAAGATGGCACAAAAAAACGAAAAGATACTCCATGGTCATGGATTGGAATAATCAATATTGGCAAAAGGTCTATAGTACCCAAAGCAATCTACAGCTTCAATGCAATCCCTATCAAAATATCAATGACATTCTTCACAGAAATAGAAAAAAATCCTAAAATTTATGTGGAACCACAAAAGACCTAAAATAACCAAAGCTATCCTGAGCAAAAAGAACAAAACTGGAGGAATCACATTGCCTAACTTCAAATTACATTACAGAGCTATAGTAACAGAAACAGCATGGTACTGGTATAAAAACAGACACCTGCCAGGCTCAGTGGCGGACACCTGTAATCCCAGCACTTTGGGAGGCTGAGGCAGGTGGATCACAAGATCAGGAGTTCAAGATCAGCCTAGCCAGCATGGTGAAACCCTGTCTCTATCCAAAATACAAAAAATTAGCTGAGCATAGTGGTGCACACCTGTAGTCCCAGCTACTCAGGAGGCTGAGGCAGGAAAATTGCTTGAACCCAGCAGGCAGAGGTTGTAGTGAGCCAAGATCACACCACTGCACTCTAGCCTGGGCAACAAAGCAAGACTTAATCTCAAACAAACAAACAAACAAACAAACAAATAAATAAAGACACATAGACCAATGCAACAGAAAACTCAGAAACAAATTCACACACCTACAGTGAACTCATTTTTGACAAAGGTGCCAAGAACATACATTGGGAAAAACACAGTTTCTTTAACAAATGGTTCTGGGAAAACTGGATCTCTGATATGGTGTGGTTCTGTGTCGCCACCTAAATCTTACGTTGAATTATAACTCCCAGTGTTAGGGGAGGGGCCTGGTGAGAGGTGATTGGATCATGGGGGTGGAGTTCCCCCATGCTGTTTTCATGATAATGAGTGAGTTCTCACCAGATCTTACGGTTTGAAAGTGTGTGGCGGCCGGGCGCGGTGGCTCAAGCCTGTAATCGCAGCACTTTGGGAGGCCGAGGCGGGTGGATCACGAGGTCGAGAGATCGAGACCATCCTGGTCAACATGGTGAAACCCCGTCTCTACTAAAAATACAAAAAACTAGCTGGGCATGGTGGCGCGTGCCTGTAATCCCAGCTACTCAGGAGGCCGAGACAGGAGAATTGCCTGAGCCCAGGAGGCGGAGGTTGCGGTGAGCCGAGATCGCGCCATTGCACTCCATCCAGCCTGGGTAACAAGAGCGAAACTCCGTCTCAAAAAAAAAAAAAAAAAAAAAAAAAAGTGTGTGGCACTCTCCCCCTTGTGCTCTCTCTCTTTCCTGCTGCCATGTGAAGAAGGTGTTGGCTTCCTCTTCGCCTTCCACTATGATTGTAAGTTTCCTAAGACCTCACAGTCATGTTTCCTGTTAAGTCTGTGAAACTGTGAGTCAGTTAAACCTCCTTTCTTCATAAATGACCCGGTCTCAGGTACTATATCTATATACGGAAGAGTGAAACTAGACCCCTATCTCTTGCCATATGTAAAAATCAAATCAAAATGGATTAGAGACTTAAACCTCAATCTATGAAACTACTATCAGAAAACACTGGGGGAAACTCTCCAGGACATTAGTCTGGGCAAAAGTTTCTTAATTCCCTACAAGCACAGGCAACTAAAGCAAAAATGGACAAATGGGATCACATCAAGTTAAAAAGCTTTTGCACAGCAAAGTAAATAATCAACAAAGTGAAGAGACAATCCACAGAACGGGAGAAAATATATACAAACTACCCATATGACAAGGGATGAATAATTATATATATGTATATATACATATATATATGTAGCTCA